CCCAGTTTAAATGGTTTTATTTTAATAAAATTTTGTATAAGTACTTAATGAAGCATAATAAGTAAATGATAAAAATTTCAAAATGATTGCACTGCTTTAAAGCCCTTTGACCTTTAATAATGTGTGGATGCACCCTGATGTGCTACGCATTCTCCAACGCGCCTAGGCATGCTTCTGATCAGGTGGTCAATGTCCTCCTGTGGTATCTCATTCCAGGCAACCACCAACTCCTCTCGAAGTGCTTCTAGAGTCTGAGGAGGACGTTGCAAAATGAGCAATCTCCTACCCATCATATCCCACACGTGCTCAATTGGGGATAAGTCGGGAGATCTTGGTGGCCATGGTAACAATGTGACATCATTATGTTGAAAGAAGTCTATTGTGACTCTTGCAACATGTGGTCGGGCATTATCTTGTTGGAAAGTTGGATCTGCCAGGGTATCAAGATAAGGTAAAAGACCTGGGACTATAAGCTATAACACCCCAAACCATAACTCCAACAGTGTGATGAACATGTCTTTCAACAAAAAACTGTGGATTCCTCCTTTCACCACGTCGCCTTCTAACCCTGGCACGACCATCGTGCATGCCTAAACAAAATCGAGACTAGTCACTAAAGACAATACTGTTCCATTCCTGATCCCATAGTGACCGTTGTCTGCACCACTCAAGGCAATTACGTCGGTGTAAGGGTTAGAAGGCGACGTGGTGAAAGGAGGAATCCACAGTTTTTTGTTGAAAGACATGTTCATCACACTGTTGGAGTTATGGTTTGGGGTGCTATAGCTTATGGTTCCAGGTCACCTTTAATCTTCATCAGAGGTAACATGAATGCGCAGCGTTATATCCACGAAGCTCTAGAACCCCATCCTTTACCCTATCTTGACACCCTGGCAGATCCAACTTTCCAACAAGATAATGCCCGACCACATGTTGCAAGAGTCACAATAGACTTCTTTCAACATAATGATGTCACATTGTTACCATGGCCACCCAGATCTCCCGACTTATCCCCAATTGAGCACGTGTGGGATATGATGGGTAGGAGATTGCTCAATTTGCAACGTCCTCCTCAGACTCTAGAAGCACTTCGAGAGAAGTTGGTGGTTGCCTGGAATGAGATACCACAGGAGGACATTGACCACCTGATCAGAAGCATGCCTGGGCGCGTTGGAGAATGCGTAGCACATCAGGGTGCATCCACACATTATTAAAGGTCAAAGGGCTTTAAAGCAGTGCAATCATTTTGAAATTTTTATCATTTACTTATTATGCTTCACTAAGTACTTATACAAAATTTTATTGAAATAAAACCATTTAAACTGGGTGTTCGGATTTATATGTCACTTAGTATAGTTCATTCCGCTCTTCCTCGCTGTGAGTGTCACCAATAGCGTCACCTAACATCACAAAACATTTTTTCAGTGCCTCAGATCTAGGCGCTGATTTGTATTTTCTACTTGACATCCCTAAATAAATTGCTATCAAAAATTTAAGTGACTGGAAATACAAGATTATGTAAAATGTAATGATCTTTCCGCGTTTCATAAATATTTCTACATATTCCTCACCTGTTAGTTGTAATATACTTCACCAACCAGGGATTTTCTTGTTTCTTCTCTCTCATTTTTTAAATTCAGCAAATTTGCATTCTTTGTACTTTCCAGTATTAGTAAAATTGATGCGCAACTAATTGCTAGCTTTTGTCCGTTTCCTTCCAGATATAGTATGAAACTCACAGCTAAGACCTCCAATAATGCAATCTCTGAAGTAGTAGTAGAGTCATGATGTTTAGAAAAGACGTACAGCTACACGAGTGCTCATCAAGTGAACAACAGTGGGTTGCAAGTTGACATCTTAAAACCTACGTATTGTCACAAAAAAACTACATGATGTTAAAAAACCAACATAATGCCAGTATCAAAGATACGTAATACCCTTGCCGGGAAAAGTGAACACATTTAATGCTATTAATTATTGTAAAACACAGAATAATATCTGAAACGGTGCATTTATCTGTCATCAAAAACTAAACAATTATTCTTGGTTACTTGTAGCTACAAGAAGCATAGATAACAGTACGGTGCTTGTTTAAGTCAATTGGTAGTTTCGTCACATCGAATGAAGTGTTTACTTAAATGGACATAATGAAATGGTAGGCAGTATGGGCCGAGACCTGTTCATATGTAGAAATAAAAACATCTAAACTCAGTTTTCAATAACATATATTAGGCGCATTAAAACCGGTTTTTTGGAATTTTTGCACGATAACTCGTAGGAGTAACTAGACCAGTGCCAGTCAAGATTTTTTTCACTTCTTCGTTTTGTATCAAAATTAATATGTTTTAGGCTGAAGATTGAAATGTTTGACTGTCTACAAGAAAGGCTAATGAATGGTGCTGATTATTGAGAACAAAATATCGACTGCAGCTCTTTAGTTTTTTTAGTTAAAATTTTTTATTTGTCGAAATATCTTAATTTTAGCAGCTTTTGTGGCACAACTCCAAACTTCAAAAGTTATCAACTTGGTTTTGTCAACATTTTACATAATAATGGTTAAAGTCGAACTAAAGCAGTTTTGGGAAACCAAAATTCCAGGTTCGGGCTCAAGTATTTTATTTCCTTGTATTTTATTAAATGCAACGCCCTGTATGTTATACTCTGATTGACTTATTGATTGTGATTTAATTCTACCAACTGGTGATATACAACAACGAGCTTTGAAGGGAAGCGGCATTTAGTATGCAATGCACATTTGATCCTAATATACAGGTCTGAGCTCAGCATTTTGAACATTTACGTTTACGTGGTCTCACGTCAATTCTAGTTAAATAATGCACACAATTAAATGTCAAGTCCGGTCCTGCATGCTACTTTCTTGTGGATTTTAAATTTTTTTCCATGTTGATCTCGTCAAATTTAGTAGAATTGCATAGTACGAGTAAATGCCGTTTCTCTTTTTGACAACTGCTCGTGTTGTACAGCATCAGGTGATAGATTAAAGTCTTTACAAAATTACCAAGAAAGTAAGTAGGGTGCATATCAGTGATTTTTCCTTTTATTTATATTATGTTTTGCTATTTTTCCTGTGTAATAATAAATTTATAGTATAATCTACACGGTGTTGCAAAAAAATAAACTGAATCCGACCCTGGAATTTTGAGCGCCCAAAATATCTTTTGTTCAAGTTTAAGCATAATGTAAAATTTAGATAAAAGTACGTTAATAACCCCTGAAACTTGAAGTTTTGTATCACATAAACAGCTAAAATTAAGATATTTGGACAAGAGCGAGCTTCTGGACTACCTCGAACGTCACAGCTTGATTAGCGACAGGCAATATGGTTTCCGGCACCAGCGAACTACAGGGGACTTCCTTCTTACGTCACGCAATGGTGGAGTTAACACGGGTGTTTCCTAGGGATCGCTCTGGGCTCCGACACTATTCCTCTTACATATCAAAGACCTCCTTTCCTGCACGATCAACCCAATCCACGGCTTCGCTGATGACAGCACTATACATGCAGGAATTCAGCTTCTGGTATAAGAACCGTTGAGCCGTAAAAGCTCTCTATTTTGTTGCCTGAACATCAAAATGCTGGTTTAATGTTGTGTAGAATGCAAATTTGCTTTCTGCAGCATATTTGTTCTAAAATGAGGTGTTAGAATATTCTTATAGCATAGCTATACAACACCTTATAGGACAAATTTTGAACTGTTCCATAAACGTTTATACAACTATTTTATACGGCATATTTGCGCGATAGTCAAAATAGTTGACTTGTGGCATCGATGGTAACGTTTATACAACAAACCAGAGCCTTGTTGTTTTGCTGTACAAACTTGCTACTTTAGCCAACAAACTGCTCCCAACGGAAGCACTTATACAACTGTCATTTGTTGCTAAATATGTTGGTATACAACTTCACCATAACCTAACTTTCTGCTGCCATCTTTTTAGTTATTTTGGAAATGTGCAATGAGGTAATTTGGGGCGCTGAATATGAATAACACAGTAAAAATTAAGTATTATCAGACGGAATTTAGGGTGAAAAGTTGACAAGAAACTATTTTTCCGGGCTAGCCGTAAACTCTAGCGATATATCGACATCGAATTTGGAATCTACGCACCTGATTTACCCAGAAAACATGTTTCCATCCCGATCATAGACGCGCAAGGGTTTTTAGAAATTTTTTATTAGTAGTTTTTTAACAAAGTTGAATTCTTGCCAGTATCTTGAAAACGAGGCATTTTCGGACGGAATGGGCCACGGATTCGGTTTCAGCGACCCAAAATGCGTATTATAAGATATCGTTGGTTTGGAAGAAGAATGGCACAACTAAAAAATTGACATTTTTTAGTTTGACCCGCTAACCAACTCAAAAAGGTAAACTTTATTATGGGAAAAATAGTCACAAGTTGCACTCGTGTAGTTAACGCTAGATGGCGACTTATGACAGTTTGACTTTGTGTGACTCTTGCATTTATTTGTATGGAATAGCGGCACATTATTAGTTGCGTCTCAGTTGTTGTGGAAGTCACATCGCGTGTTTTCGAGAATAGCGTCACAAGTGAAAAAAGAACGTATTTTTTGGTATTTTGTATTTAATATTTTATGCAAGACAGTCACATTTCGATTTAGGTAAGTATTCCTCATAGGATATGTGCTTTTAAAATGAATTATTATGTGCAACACAGTCACATTTCGACTTGTGTCAGTATTCCTCATAGGATATGCGTGTTTATAAAGGAATATTATGTGCAATATCGTCATTTTTGACTTAGAACGGTATTCTTCAAAATAATCATGACAATGTCGAAAGTTATTTTATTAGTTTGAGTACTATTTTGATATGTGACCTTTTTTCTAGATAAAATCTACTAATGATTCATTGTTTTTTTTTTACTTGGAACAATATTCGTAAAAATAATTTAAAATTTTCGAAGTTGTTTGTGCAATTTTCTGAAATGTACGTATTTGTTACTTCACAGTCTATTCAATGAGTTCCCAGCGAGCGAAACTTATATTAAAGTTAGCAAAAACCAAAGCAAAAGTAGAGAAGAAAGAGAATGGTGCGCAGGATAGTTGGAAAATTTCGCAGCATAATAATATTGGCAATACCAGCAGTACTGCAGAGGAAGCTGTTAATAGCGTCACGGTCAATAAAGGTTTGTTTTTCTATTGTTAATAAATATAAACACAAATAAATGTTCATATAATTTTAGAGTCCCTAAACATGATTGAAAGTAATAATATCCGCAATAGTTTAAAAGAAGCCAAAAATGCAACCGAAGATCAGAATAATATAGAGTCTGTAAATCAGATCGATCTGCCAAGCCAAAACGTTATCTCCCAAACGACAATCATTCCTGGTATCATCTTTGATGAGAGTTCAGAAGATATTGGAGGTGTTACATTAATAAATAGAACTCGATCTCAAGGCTTACTTAGAGCGGATGAATATGAAGAATTCCCTAGCAGTAATGGTTCTAGCAGTGAGCTAATAGAAGAAGGTGATTTAGGTAGTCATAGCTAGTTAAAAAAATGTTCCTCTAACACAAAATTTATTGTTACAGAAGCCACTTATTATTTTCTGTTGAACCTGCAATTCAAACAGATAACAATTCAAGTAGTAGGTCCTCAAGTGATTCGGACCCAACCAGTTCTGAAGAAGAACCTTTTGGTTCTGGTGCTTCAGAAGAAGATCCTGATTTTGAACCAGAAAACATATTGTCTTCCAGTGAATCCGAAGTAGTTGGTATACCTCAAAATGTAGCTTTACCAATACGTCGTTCAGTGCACTATCCTTCTGAAACAGAGAAGCAAACTAAAAAACGAAAAAGAGTCGGGGAGTGCGGGACAAAATAAGAACCGAGTTATCATGTCTTTATACACTTATGCAGTTTCAAATTTAAAGTCTGTACAATCTATAACTCACAAATTTTTTATCGTTGGGCACACGCAAAATGAGGGCGATAATGTACATGCCATTATTGAAAAAGCAGTTGGCAAAATTCGCAAATCTGGGTCCATCTATGTGCCTGAGCAGTACGCAACAATAATCGGACAGGCAAAAAAAAACTGGGAAACCATTTTCTGTTAATGAAATGTGTCACAAAGATATCCTTGACCTGAAGGATCTTTCTTCTCAGCTCGGCATGAAACCTAATTTCAAAAATGAAGAGGGGAAACCGTTAAAATCACCGACTTAAAAATGTTTATGGTAAAGAAAGAGTGCCTGGGAGTGCTATTCTACAAAACCTCTTACAATGAAAAGGAGTATTCACAAGTCAACATTTTACATTTGAGGCGCCAAAAACCAGATTTCTCTTCGGTGAAGTTAAAAAATGCTTACAAGGCAAGAGTCGGTATTACAGAAACTAAAAAAAAAATCATTATTATCATTGTTTAATAAAAAACCTGACAAACTAGTGGTCCCAATGTACTATTTCGATTTTTATGATAGATTATAGACTTTCTACCTACATATTTTCTGTGCTGTTCTTTAAATATTTTTATTTGTTTATTTCTGTAAATTTAAATAAATAAAACTGTATTTTCGACCATAAATTACTCCATTGTTTTATTTTGTGTCAAACGTTTCAATCAAAAATGTTAAAGAAATTTTGGGAAAAACTGTCACAAATGCTAATTTCAGGTAAAAAGGTGAGGACAGGTAATGACTTTCTATTATATTTAAGTGATTATAACCCTTAAGGTTATAAAATATTTTACCCCTTATTTTTTACCTTAAAAAAATTATGATGAGAACTAGCACATTGAAATTTTAAAACATATCTCCTGAAAATTAATACTTTTCCACTTGTGACAGTGTTCTTCCAAACCAACGATATGTTGCGTTCACGTTCCCGACTGACCCATTTTGTGACTTTTTGGTAAGAGTACCCCTATACATGGTAATTATATGTTAACATGCTTTAAATGCGGTTTAAATGACCCTTATTCCACGTAGTTTGGGCTGCCCTATCGAATCCGAAGTCGTTTTATACAGGGTGTTTCAGTTTATTTTTGCATCACTTTAAGATTCGATAGAACCTTTAAAATTAATGCATAAATTCTATATAAACATATGTCGAAAAATGCGTGGCTTCCGAAATACAGGGTGTTTAAACTTACTTTCTAAAATAGTTTTTTTTTTAAATATTTCGAACAATATTAAATTGATATATAACAGTGAAAATTGGTATACAAGGGTTTTTTGGTACGACAAAACGAACCATGGGCATAATTTTATTGTAGCCGCTAGAGGGCGCTCTCTACTGTACCTGTAGTGTATTAAAATGACCGAATTTTTTTTCTTAATAACGTTAAAAAGTCATCTCGATAATTTTTAGAAGTAGGCTGTGCCTGCAAATATTTTTGAAATTGAAAGTAGAATAAGGTTAAACGTCAATTAGTTGACAGTTAGTTTTGTTGTCTGTTGAAACCTGAAACGTTCTTTTGCAATTGTGAATGCACGAAATTTAGTTTCTAGACGACATCCAACTCGCTCAGTATTTGTAAGAGTGCATCGCCAAATAATTGAAAATGGTTTTGGAAATCTCCAAAGGGATCAAAACATATATGTTCGTCAGCGCAGATTTACCCGTATGATTCTGCGTGAGTTTGATAGAGATCCGACCACAAGTGTTAGGAGAGTTTCTGGTGCCTTGGGAATTTCAGCAAGCCATGTTCACCGTGTTCTTAGAAATGACCATAGACGTCCTTACCATTTGCAACCTGTACAAGGACTACAGCCAGGGGACGAAGAACGAAGAATCACATTTTGCCAGTGGATTCTTGATAGAACTGATAATAATAGGGAGTTTTTAAGTTTCGTTTTATGGACCGATGAGTCATGCTTCACTAGACGTGGAGTGGTAAATTTTCATAATCAACATATTTGGTCGCATGAAAATCCGCTTGCAGTTCGGGAAAGAAATTTTCAGCATGAATTTAGTGTGAACGTGTAGATTGGTATCTACCGTAATCGACTATTTTGACCCTACCTTTTGCCTGCAAGGTTAAATGCTGCGACCTTCTTGGAATTTTTAAAGGCTGAACATGCAAATATGTGGGATGATGTTATGTTAGATTTAAGAAGATTGGCCTTGTTCCAGCTTGATGGTTGTCCAGCTCATTATTCGAGAATAGTTAGAAACTGGCTGGACGAAAATTATCCAGAAAGATGGATCGGCCGTGGAGGACTAGTCGTCTGGCCTCCACGATCCCCTGAGCTAAGTCGATTAGATTTCTTTGTGTGGGGATTTCTAAAATAAAAAGTGTACCAGACTCCCGTAACCACAAGAGATATGCTAATAGACAGAATCAGGAATGCATGTGATGAAATAAGGCCTTATTTGAATAATGCTATACCACGTTCGATCATTCGTAGATGTGAATTGTGTATTGAACAATTGGGTTTACATTTCGAGCAACTACTTTAGATTTTGTATGTTTGTCCTAACTATCCAACAGCATTTTAGTTGTAAATAATTAATTTAATTTGTTAGAAATAATATTGAAAAATTAAACAAATTAATATTCTGTTTTTTTGTGTTTATTTGGAGTTAGGAATTATTGCTGTGTTTAAAAACACAATCTAAACGATCATCTTCATTACTTGTAATGCCCAAATCGAAAACGCAAAAAAATATTACTTTCCCATAAACAATTAAAAATGCATCGAACCTTAAAAATCGAAATATCTCAAAAACGGTTAACTATAACGAAAACTCATAGGAGAGCTTTTTTGTGCAGAAAATTGCGAAGAATCAGTTTTTTTATTCAAAAAGCAAAAAATTGCACTAAGCGGCTATAGTAAAACTATGGTGGTTCGTTTGGTCGTACCAAAAAACCCTTGTATACCAATTTTCACTGTTATACATCAAATATTGTTCGAAATATTTAAAAAAAACTATTTTAGAAAGTAAATTTAAACACCCTGTATTTCGGAAGCCACGCATTTTTCGACCCATGTTTATGTAGACTGCATTAATTTTAAAAGTTCTATCGAATCTTAAAGTTATGCAACAATAAACTGAAACACCCTGTATATCTATGAAATTCACAATGGCCGATATGTAAGTAAACAAGATGACTTTAATGTGGTAGTTATATATTCTTCACTTCTATAGGCGAAGTGAAGATTACATAAGAAATAGTTTGGTTGCAATAAAGTAGACTCATGTAGCAGAATAGTTGTATAGTTGACAAAAACTGAATCTTGCACAGACGTAAAGGTTTTATAGTGGCTGCAAGAGGTTTACACTTTTGTTGTATAACTGTTACCTGCAGCCCTCATACAACCTCTTAAATGACTGAAGTGTCCTATTAGGTGTGCCCGATTGTATAGCTGTTCTAAGAGCGTTTTGCCAATGTTCTTACAGCATACAATGCTGTGTAAGGAATACTGTATAATTATTCTTGCAACTCTAATAGGAGTGATAATTGTTAGTCAGGATACTAGTGACGACTTCCTCTCTGACGAGAGACCTGGAGCTTATCACTGTTGGGGACGCAACAATCTTGTACAGTTTAATGCTTCCAAAACACATTACTGTACATTGACGAACAAAAAGCGTCCTAGCGCTCATCCGGTTCCGATGGATGGCCCAGTTCTGCCAAAGAGCCATTGATTTCGCCTGGTCGGAGTCCAGATCACCAAGGACCTGATCTGGCACGAACGCATCTCGTCAATAGCGGCAGCTGCTGGGAAAAATACAGGCTATTTGTTGAGGGCTAAGAAGTACTTTTCTCCGCATGACTTTCTCACTCTATACAAAGCCCAGATAAGGCCTAGCCTCAACTTTTTCTCACACTTTTGGGGTGCTGCCACCCCGACTACATTATTTATGCTCGATGCTGTCCAGAGGAGGACTGTTCAAATGATCGATGATTCTTCTCTAACAGACGGTCTCGGGATCCTTTCGCACCGGCAGGCCGTTGGCGATCTAGCTCTCTTCTGCCGCTACACCAACGGGCTTTGCTCCTCAGAACTCTCTTCCGTGATGCCGCCGCGCGATGTGCCCGCCTGACAGATCCGCCTGACTTTGGCCTCCCATCCTAACCATGTCGAACTTCGTACATCCAGAACTGGCCGATACGACCGCTCCTTTGACCCGAGATTGTGGAACAATCTACAAGAGGAAGCTTTTCCCAGTTCGACTAACCTTTGGCAGTTCAAAAATCGGCTTAGCAACATTTCTTTAAGATCATCATAGCAGCTGCGTGTCCCGGCGTTTAGGCTTCTGCTTCCGCGGCTGCTTCGGTAAAAAAAAATAAAAATAAAACGGGTTGGACCGAATAAGCTAAAGAGGCGCAATCAATAAATTTTCCTAATTAGTTAGCACCATTCATGGGTTTTTGCGCATGGTCAAACATTTCAATATTCAGCCTAACAGGTGTTCAATTTGGTAAGAAATGAAACAGTGAATAAATCGAGTCAGACCCTGGATTTTTCAACCGTCCGACTAGTTTTACGATACTCCTAGTCTATCGTGCAAAGTTTCTACAAAAGCGATTTAATAGTGCCTCAGGTATATATGATATCTGTGAAAACTGAGCTTAGAACTTTTTTATTCTTAGATATAGAAAGTTCTCGGTCCATGCTACCTATCATTTCACTACGTCAATTTTTAAGTACGGAACACCTTGTATACAAAACTCACCAAATATCAAGTTCAAATCAACAAACAAGAAAAATAAGAATATGGGCGAATACACTTTGCTCTATTCGCTTTGCCCAATTCGCTTTGCCCAAAGTTACTTAACGGAGACTTTCCTTTGTTTTTACCATAACTATTAATTCAATCCTCATCTAGAGAGCCATTCGTATGTAAGAATTA